CACCCTTCCCGTCTTCACCACTCATCCCTTGCCCTCTGTTGGTGGCCAGGTCACGTGCACTATGGAAATGCATGGCGCTGTATGGCCCAGCTGCCTGCAACACAGCAACCAATGACATGTGACCAGCCTGTCTGAACTATGGAAATGCATTACGCTGTACAGACCAGTCACCTGCATCAACCAATGATGCTGGATCACTAGGTGCCAAATAGAAGATGTGAGGGTAGAGATGAATGGAGAGGTAGGAGGAGGAGGAGGAGGACACACACAAAGTGAGTGAAAGTGGCACAGGCTGGAGATCACATACACAGAGAATGGAGCCCAGCCATACTGCTGCACAATGCCCACTGCAGAGTCCTCCAGCCCATCGGAAACACTTTTGAGTACCACTAATACCCACCTCACCAATTCCGATTTGGTGTGTGTGTGTGTGTGTGTGGTGGGGATTTGGTTTACAATTTATGGAAATGGTTGCCAAAGAGTAACAGGTGAAACAAAGGTTGGGAACCACTAAGCTTGTGGGTTGCACTACTCTACAGTAGAAGCCACTAACTAAAGAGATGAGTGTTTTTTTGTTTTTTAAAACTTCTTCAGTAAACATTAAAGATGAGCAAAAAATAAAAATCAATTTAGCTTTAGGGGTACAAATGTTTTAGCCAATTTGGGGGAAAAATAACTTTTACAATTGTTATTTAGGCACATTTGTGCTTTTCTGCATGTATACCACTAGATGGCATCTCTGTACATTTTATCTAGGCTTGCTGTTAAGAAAACCTGCCCTATACTTCCAACTACAGTGCATGTTTTTCAGTTGATCTATCTGCCTGAATGAACACCCAAACTATTAACTGGTGGTGGGGTTTGAAGCCTAAAACAGTGGTTAAATGTTTGGCATCATTCTAAAACTAGTTTTTGTACTAAACTAAATCAAATTATTTAAAACTTCACTGTACAATTATTTCACCATCATTTTCTCCTCATGAAGTTATAAAATGTTATCTTATTGCTTCGAGAAAGCAAAAACTTGGAAACCACCGCTGCTAATTACACACACACAGGTGAGTGTTCAGACAATCACTCAGACACTCCCTTAATTAGATTTTTTGTCATCAGAAAGGCAACGCAAGAAAAAAAAACAAATGCTTTATAACTAAAGGTGCCCACACACCTTACAAATATCTGCAGATTTTCTGTGGTCAGATGGAAAAAGTGCAACAGATTGGCCCAGGTGGAGATTACTCCATCCACACAGTTAAGTGTAGATGGAGGAATCTGTTCCACCTTTTCCATCCGACCACAGAAAATCTGCAGATAAATTGTAAGGTGTATGGGCAGCTTAAGTGTATGGCTAGAGTAAATAATACTAATGATAGCAAGGTGACATGAGACACTAGGTCTCGTGCAGCATTACAGTCTTGCTTACATTTGATAGACTCCAATATTTAAAGCAAAACATTCTAAATACACAGATAACAAACATGTTGTTTTACCTGGCAAAGTATTTGTATCCCACAACAGGAATAGAAGGGAAGTGCTCCGGTGGAGACACCTGTTGAGTTGCCAACTAATGTACAAGGGAAATTCCATCACCTTGGAAAGATTTTTCTCTAACTTCCTGTTAAGGACCCAAAGTGGAGTGGGACACAGGTGACAAAGACCAGACAAAAGGTTTTAACCCACCCTTTAAATAAACTATGTAACGCTGGTCTCAAGAAACTAAATAAATAATGCTACTTACAACTGTGTCTCCTAATTGAGCAAATTATCTTGGAACCAGAGTAAATTGTTTTCAGAGCCCACACTATATTGGCAGTCACTGTGATCCATAATATGTCAGTTCCTCTAGTAGCATTAATGGCCAATTTACAGTTTTAATGCAGGCATTTTAAAACATAGTTAGTGCATGTACCCAGAATAAACCAATAGTACTAGTTCACATCTGTACAATGCAGGGACATAAGTTTTTTTTTTTTTTTTGCATCAACACGAGTTATAGGGCCTATTGATGACCACATATTCAGCCTTAGTAATGACATAATAAGGAGAAAGAATGGCCATGTCAAACTACTTATTTAACGCTTTCAGGGGTATGTAAAGTTATAGGCATATAGAGCTTTCATAAACAGGTTCCTGTTATGGTAGTGGCCAGTGGAGATACAAATAGAATAGAGCTTTTCTTCAAGCATCTAAAAACTATATACAGTATATCTATACTATGCAAACATTTTAGGCAGGTGTGAAAAAATGCTGTAAAGTAAGAATGCTTTCAGAAATAAAAGTGTCTATTTTTCATCAATTAACAAAATTGAAAGTAAATGAACAGAAGAGAAATCCAAATCAAATCAATATTTGGTGTCACCACCCTTTGCCTTTAAAGCAGCAATTTCTCTCTATACATATGTACACAGTTTTTTAAGGAACTTCTTGGAGAAAAAAAACCCCACAGATCTTATATGGATGCAGGCTGCCTTAAATCCTTCTGCCTCTATATGCAATCCCAGACAGACTTGATGTTGAGATCAGGGTTCTGTGGGGGCCAATCACTTCCAGGACTCCTTGTTGTTCTTTATGCTGTAGATAGTTCTTAAAAAAGGAGAACTATGGGGTTAGGGCTTTTCCCCATAGTTCTCCTAAGGGTAACGGGAGGACACAAACTAGCGTCCTCCCGTCAACCTAAGCTCAGTATACCGAGAGCTACAGCTCGGGCGCGGTATACTGAGATGCTGAAGCGGATCCTGACAATTATGTCTGGATCCGCCCAGCTGCGTGAGTGACAGCTGGCTCTGCCTATCTAGAGGCAGAGCCAGCTGTACCCACCCCCTCCCCGTCTGTTCCGCCAGTCAGCGGTGGAGGATCGGAGCGGGGAGGGGGGAATCCAGCCCCTCCCCTGTCACGGCAGAGAGCCGTGACAGGATCGAGAAGTGAGCGAAAGCCGGTATGTGTTCGCTCACTTCCCGCTCTACTGAGCCGACCTGTGACAGTCTCATTGTTACAGGTCGGCTAGAACTTCTCCTTTAATGGCATTGGCTGTATGTTTGGGGTCGTTGTTCTGCTGCAGAATACATTTGGGGCCAATCACATGCCTCCCTATTGGTATGGCATGATGGATAAGTATCTGCTTGTATTTCTCAGCATTGAAAACACCACCTGACCAAATCTCCAACTCCATTTGCAGAAATGCAGCCCCAGACTTGCAAGAAACATCTACCATGCTTCATTGTTGCCTGCAGATAGACACTCATTGTACTGCTCTCCAGCCCTTCGGCGAACATACTGCCTCCTGCTACAGCCAAATATTTCAAATTTTGACTTAGTCCACAGCACCTGCTGCCATTTGTCTGCACCCCAGTTCCTATGTTTTCGTGCATAGTTGAGTCGCTTAGCCTTGTTTCCACAACAGAAGGTATCGCTTTTTGGACGCAATTCTGAAGACCACTTCTGGCCAGACTTCTCTAGATAGCAGATGGATGTACCTGTGTCTCACTAGTTTCCACCAGTTTGGTCCTGATGGCACTGCTGGACATCTTCCGATGTCAAAGGGAAGTGAGCATGACGAATCTTTCATATTCTGCATTAAGTTTCCTTGGACGACCACTGTGTCTATGGTCCTCAACATTGCCCGTTTCTTTGTGCTTTAAGACAGCTTGAACGGCACATCTTGAAACCCAAGTCTGCTTTGAAAGGTTTGCCTGGGAGAGACCTTACTGATGCAGTATAGCTACTTTGCGTCTTGTTGCTGTGCTCAGTCTTGCCATGGTGTATAACCTGTGACATGAAACAGTCTTTCACAACTGAGTTTGGCTGTTCCTCACCCAGTTTTAAGCCTCCTATACAGCCGTTACTGTTTCAGTTAATGACTCTGTTTGAACCTACATATGAAATGTATGATGATTTGCACCTGCTTGGTATAACTTGTTAATAATACACCTGATTCTAATCCTACAAAATCTCTGACTTTCTGCAAGTGTACAAGTGAAAGAATTGATGCTGTTTTGAAGCCAACGGGTAGTCACACCAAATATTGGTTTGATTTAGATTTTTTTTCTGTTCACTCACTTTACATTTCGTAAATGTATAAAAATAAACAAAAAGTACATTTTTTAAAGCATTTTTAGTTTAAAGCATTTTTTTTCACAACCGGCCTAAAAGTTTTACACAGTACTGTATATTTTTTTCAGTTGATTTACACTTAGGTGTCCTCCTTAAAGGAAAAAAAAAATACATTCTTTGAGGGCCAGTGTGGAAGAAATTAGCATAACATATACAACTTTTAATCATGCTGGTTTGCACTTTTAAAATGTTTTCTGTTATCTGTTAAAAATTTCACATTTTATGATATGCATCTACATGCTCCCACATCTACCGGAGAGGTCATCTGTTAGGCGCTTCAATCCAAGTTTTCAAGTAAAAAAAATACTCAAAATATTAAAGATCATTACATTTAATTTTAAAAGTTATTTTTATCTTTCTTTTTAAGAATTTGATCTTAAAGCGCTTCCCTATTTCAGTGTACTGATCATTTCCTACATTTTTAGAAGGATATAATTGAAATGTTGCCATTGCAAGAATTTTGTTGCAGTTTTATTAAGATTTTAAGAAAATAAATATGAAAAATTAATAGTTTGCCTAAAATTTAAAACTAAAACTAGATATTTAATTATATGCAGTCCTACCTAGTAACCTATTAGATGCATCTCATTTTGATATGGTCTTCTTTAATCTGTGTTTTAATGGGAATCCCTTCATTATTGTATAGGATAACAAGATCAAATGTAAGACATCGAATAAATACAGAAGTTTTGTTAGTCTCAAATAAAGACCTTATTGCAATACCGTATACCATACATACTTTCTTGATTAAAGAGTAAAAAATGTTTACCCAGTTTTGTTAAGACATGTTCTCGTGAACAAAAACACATACTCAACACCATTCATCAACAGCTGCTTTTTGAACAAGTAATTTAAAATGTAATGATTGCAAACAATCATGCAGCACTAACCTGGTGATGGTGTAGCCGATTCTTCAAAGCTGTCATCATCGGCACCGTCATCTCCAATGCCAGAAGCCAAAGAGTCTTCTGGAGCAGAAGCTGAGTCAGGACTACTGGGTCTACTAGCAGAGTCGCCTTCACTATTTGATCCATAGCGGTCATTGTGAGTAACTGAACCACTTTCACTCAAACTTCTACGTTCCTTTCGATGGACTCTTGAATGAAGCACCATCTGGTGATATGTTCGGAAAATTTTCCCACATTCAAAGCATTCAGTAGATTTGTTCTGAGAAGATCTGCGGCTCTGCCTTGAAGGTGGCCTAAATTCCAACTCATTAGGTGTTTCAACAGCATTCTCTCCAGGTTGAGCACTGCTGCTTTTTTCTGTGCGGCTGCCACTTGCGCAACTCCGTTTCTTTGGATTGCTGTTGTTGTTACCTTCCTGCTCCCGTTTGCGTTTCTCCTGATTGATCTGAATGTATTCACCTTTATCCCGGTCATAACACACATCTGCATCTGCCAAGGCTTCATCCCATCCTAAATATTTCACATATTCTGATGGCTCAGCAACCTTGCCCTTTGTGGCCAACTGCCAAGCTTGATAGCTATTGATCGGGTCAAGTTCAGGAACTCTCTTCCCTTGATGCATGTCTGTGCATTTCAGTGTATCTTCTAAAGGCCGTAGATTCAGATAGTCCAAGAAAAATAGTTTTGACCCAGGCCCATCTGAACCGACATCTTGCAAATTAGTTTTTTGTGCTGTTTTGTCTTCACTAGAACCTTCTTCTGTTTTGCAGTGGACTAAATTGTGTGCATTTAGACTCTCTAAATTTGTAAATAAATTTCCACATTTCATGCAAACTTCATAGAGACATAAGCCAGTCATCATGGTCTCTTCTTGAACAACATCATTAATAGTGGCTACTGGATCAGTATCAGATTTGGGTTTGTTTTTGTTCCCAGTTTTGGGGCCATGAGATTTCATGTGATTTTTCAAAAACCAGGGCTCTTTAAATCTTCTGCCACATATATGGCATCCATGGTCAAATGATCCTCTATGCTTCTTCATGTGAGCTTTAAGAAACCAAGCCTGACCAAAAGCTTGGCCGCAGATTTCACAAGGAAATTCACCTGAATTAAGATCATTTTTCCCATTTTCTGGGAATCCATCTCTGTTTAATGGAATTGCTGTTGTGATATGATCTTTCTCGATGTGGTTTAACAAAGTCTCCTCTCGCAATGTCATATAACTACAGAACCTGCATTTATATGGCTTGTGAACTTGTAGAAGATGCTGGTCCAGCTCTTTCTTTCGGTCATACTTGTTTTTACAGAACATGCAATGGTAGTCACCAGGCTTGTCATCATCTGCTGCCTCTGTGTCTTCCAACTGCAAAGATCCATTAAGAATTTTGTTGCAGGCAGATGTGCTCTTTGTTGGGCTTGCGCACACACCCATTCCTTCAGAAGCCCCAAGTTCTCCATGCGACTCTCCCATTTCCACATCATGGACCTGGCCAAGAGTACCAGTCCTATGTGTTCGCAGGTGTATCTTCAGATTTCCTTTCTGGGCAGCTCTATGGTCACAGTATGGACATTTATATGGCTTTTCACCTGTGTGCTTCCGCATGTGCTGTGAAAGGGAGCTCTGGAAAGGGAAGCTTTTCCCACAAATGACACAACTAAAGCAGGTTGGTTTGTCATCATCAGCATCATTTTTACTCGACTTAGCAGCAGATTCACGTAGTTCCATATCAAATTGTTTCCTTCGTTCCATCACCAATGGACCATGAGGCAGGGAGACTAAATCAGTCTAGGAACTGTTGACCGTGGAGTTCTATACTCAGCCTTATGCTACTTGTTCAGCATAACGTCCAGACCAATCTTCATAAATGTATGCTAATAATGGCTGCCATCAGAGCCCTAAATGAAAACAAAAGGGGAGAACCCAAAATATTAGAATACTGTTTTAATTGATCATAAACTAAATACCTGAAAACAGTAAAAAAAAATAGCAAACAGTATATAACACATCACCAACGGCTTGAGTCCAGGAAAGGAGACAGTATGCAGTGATCGTGGTATAGGACGCTAACGAGGCAGCTCTCAATAGGCTTTAGGTAAACTTCAACACTGCAAAACAAAAAACACACAGAGCGCCTCCATTGCGTAAATAAAAAGTTTTTACGCGATGGAGGCGCTGTGTTTTGTTTTGCAGTAAAAAAAAATAGCATTATTCACTGAACCTAGATTTTGCTACAGCAATTATTCAATGCACAAACAGAACTTTTTTACTACAACCTCAAGTGAGGGTTTCTTGAATTACTGTTAACACAGCAACATCCTCTAAAAAAAAATACTATTTACATAACAGTACCTGGCATATGCTTAATGCTTCCAATATAAAGATTACATTGAATATACTTACACCTAGAGATTAAAACCAATCCACACATGGCAGATATCAGCAAATAGAAACAATCTGCATGCTGTCCCAGGAGCACCAGCCAGTTCATTAGGAAAAGAACAGTAGGTACACTCTATCATGATAAGTCAGCAACATTGGCAGAAGAGTTCTCAATACAAACCTACCAGGAAGGAAATGTGTAGGTTGCCAGTGCTAAACTACCTCCAAAAATGTTAATGTTCTAGCTATCTCTAACTTTGAAACAGTGTGACACAGACTTGGTTTAGGGAAGTCACCGGCCTATTTTCACAGGTCAATGGTGCAAAGTACTGGAACCACTACAACACCATGACTAGCTAGCGTTTTCAGCAGGAAAACTAAAATGAATTGCAGTGAAGAAAAGATTGTAAAGCCATTTCTAATGATGATTAAATAATTTACAATGGATGCTGCTTCTTGGTGTTTAAATGTTTTCTGCAGAATCAGTTGGTCCCAAGCACTGGTCCTGATGTCACTTCCTTGCATGGTCCTATCGTGCCACCCTTGGATGTGCTAATAAAAGGTGTGTGCCTCTCCAAAAACACATGTGCATAGAAAGGGAAGGCACTTCTCTACTCCCAACTCCTCCCTCCATCAGCTTTCCAGCTGTGGTTAAACTACATATCCCATCATGCTTTTACCGTTGGGAGTCAAGCCTGTGGCGGTCAGGGTCTTGCAATGCCTCATGGGACCTGTAGTTCTACAACAGCTGGAGTGCCAAGGTTGCAAACCTCTGTCATAGATGGATAGCTTCTGAACACTGTGCTGTCACTTGTAATCTTCAACTGGAAGTTCAGGTAAGTCAAGCTGAGAGAGTTGGAGCCAGTTGTTTGGATGACTAAGTGCTTGCGCATAAATGTAAAGAAATAGTTTGTTGAGCAATGTATATTTGTTTGATCTGAATTCAATATTAAAAAAAAGTTCAAAAAAGACCACAATCACTGCTACAGAACCAAGTTTCGCTTTAACATGAAATGTATTTTCAGATTTATCTGGTAATTACTGGCTAATCAGGGCCCACGCAGGCAGAGCTGTACTGCCACTCAAGTCTCATAATCAGTTTTATTGCATAGCACCTTACTGCAGCCTCCTAATGCGAGACACCCGAGGAGGTGTTCAAAAAAGTATGAATCAGAGGTTACTCAGAATAGCAATAACCTATGACTTTGTACGCAATCACAAGCATCAATGAAAATGCATCACCATTATAATTTGGTACACTTTAAACAATAAGCTTTATATGAAATGCTTGCTGGTATAAGAGGCAACATTTCTAAAATGTTATCTTACTTGAAATGCAGGCAATAATGTACACAGCACACAGGGTGTGTAAATTATTATTAAAAAGCTGAGGGCTATGAGCAGTGGGCAGCTGCAAAGTATAAAAATCTTACCTTCCAGCACAATGTCCCCGCACACAATGCCCAGCTTCTCGGCACTAAAGAGAGGGAGAGATGTGACTCGAGCAGTCCATCACTCCAGTCTCAACAAATTAATGCAGCTCTCTCTTCATTAATTAATTACAGTATTTTTTTTTATATATAGTAACTAGTTTAAAAGAGAACTATGGGGTTAAGGCTTTTCCCCATAGTTCTCCTTAGGGTAACGGGAGGACACAAACTAGCGTCCTCCCGTCACCCTAGTCTCAGTATACCGCGAGCTGTAGCTCGCGGTATAGTGAGACGCCGCAGCTGAAGCGGATCCCGACAATTGTGCCGGGATCCGCCCAGCTGTGTGAGTGACAGCTGGCTCTGCCTATCTAGAGGCAGAGCCAGCTGTACCCGCCCCCTCCTCCGTCCGTTCCGCCAGTCAGCGCTGGCGGATCAGAGCGGGGAGGGGAGAATCCAGCCCCTCCCCTGTCACGGCAGAGAGCTGTGACAGGATCGAGAGGTGAGCGAACGCCGGTATCTGTTCGCTCACTTCCCGATCTACTGAGCCGACCTGTGACAGTCTCATTGCCACAGGTTGGCTAGAACTATGAGGTGAGTGAAAAGCACTCATCTCATAGTTCTCCTTTAAATATCTGAATCTGATTTGGTATCAGACTCTTGAAATCCACAATACAGTAGCACGGGTAGAGGGAGAGGCAGAACTGGGCATGAATGAGGTGTGCCGCATTTGAATGAGCATACCAATAGGTCAGATTGGGAACAGAGGATAACAGATAAGTGGATGACCTCATCAGCCTGTTGCTGCTCCTTCACTGTCCAATCAAAAGCCTGGAAGTGGAGAGACAGCACTACTGTATTCCTTTTTTTATAACTGGTGTCATACTGGGGCTGTGCAAATCACAGTACTGGAAGGACAGAAATACAAATCATTTTGCAGATAAACCATATCCCATAAAAGGTTATTCATCTGTGTATTTAGCTGTTTACCCATACCTCCCAACTGTCCCCGATTTGAAAAACCAAACCCCTCTGTTAAGGTGCCCGTACACTTATCTGCGATTGCGTTTTAGCCAGAAAATCTGCCAGTTGATGGGAAGTGTACAACCTCAATTACTGTACAACTGGCAGATTTTTGTCTTTCAAGTAGGCTAGAAAACTTTTGTCTAATTGGACGAAAATTGACGGCTTAGTAGCGTTGTTGCACAACAAAAATCTCAAGATGAAAACTGCACATGCTCAAACGAAAATCTGCCCTTTCGATTGATGAAAGTTAACAAGGTGGTGCTGATGAGCATTAATTGCGAGCTACATTGGTCTGTGCATGATGGGCCACTTGTAAGAAAATTGAACGAGGGTGAGATGTCTGGACAAAAAAAGTTGTGCAATGGTTGTAAGGTGTATGGCCACCTTTACTCTTTTCTCCTCGGTCTTCCCTCTTTTTGGTCTGATGTATAGAGATCTATGAAAAGGATAAAGTTATTCTGCACTAAAACCTTTATCTAATTTCGTAAACGGTAATTCCACTTTCTCAGGTGAATTTGGGAAAACAGAACTACCCTCACTGATCAGGTACAACAATCTGTGTTTAATCAATCATTTTTGGAATATAAAATATTAATGGTCCACATTACTGGGGGCTGTGCAGGGGTGTGTCCATTGCCTAAATATCTTGTGCTGAAAAGTGTCCCTTTTTCCAATTTTAGAAAGTTGGGAGGAATGGTTTACTTCAAAAGTATAAATACCGCTTGCAGGCAGGATAAAACAAACCAGACACAGACTGTTAGAAAAGGACACTCTTGAATAAGAACACGGTACTATGGTTGGACAAACTAACTTGAAACCAATGTAGCACATATTTACTTCTGTTATTTGTAATGGCACATATCAACTCACACCATCATGCCATAGCTCAAACAAGCAAAAACACTCCATATTTCCAAAGAAAGTGTCAACTATTTTCACTTGGTTGCTTTAATTTTCTGTCCTGCAGTACAACATTTTAAGCCAGACTCTGTATTGCTGCTGTGAGCAGTACAGACACTTCTTGAGTTAGGAGACACCAATTATTCTGTGCATGACAATAGGAGCATTTGCAGAGGGTATTTTACAGCCAAAATGCTAATAATCTTCTCCAAATATATATCTAAAAAACAATGTGGCTAATCTACAGCTTGGTCAAGGCATCTGTTGGTGCCAATAAAGAAAAGCCAGTGTCATCAGAACCAACAAATGCAAGAGAAACAATTAGCAGTTTATAATTCAGAGTCCCAACTTGCCGCATGAAATGATGCATTCACTATTGGAAGAGTACGTACCATTGATGACACAACCTCAGGGCTTCTGCTGCTGTCAGGCCAATCAATAATCCATTATGAACAAAATACATGTCTACACTCATACCAAGAAACATATCAAAGGGATCTCTATGTACACTAATGTAAGGAAATGGAAATCTAGATATAGCTGTAACTGACACGGTTCTTAAAGCTATGGTTTTGTTAATATTAGCCACTACACTGATGCTTGGATAACACATGTATACTGCTCTAATGTACCGACCTACAGAATTAAAGTTGCAAAAAATAAAAAAAACTCAAGAGCCACAAAACAAATGTTTTACAACTTTGTAAGGAACCTACTAAAAAAAATAAAAAAAGCAGCAGAAAGTCACTATTTCCAGGCCACTTCACAATAACCTATTTTTCTTACATTTCAGCTACTTTAAGATATTTAGAGACCATGGTCATCAATTATATTAACCCTTGACAAAGCTGTCACCATGTGCAAAACTACATTTAGGTTTGCACCCCAATACTTAATAAAAAGACAGGTTGTTTACTATGTCTTCAAAATGTAGAGCAATGACATACAACCACATACCCAATAAAGAGGGTTGATAAGGAACCTAAAGTTTATAGTTAAAGTATTAGATTTTGAAAAACTTTTTTTTTATAAACAAACTTTTTGGAAAAAATCCACTAAAAATCTAATTTTATACAAATGTTCTTCCACCATTCTGATCCATTTATGAACTGTCCATACTCCCTAAAGTGGAGGACAGTTCATATTTACACACTTTAATTGCATAT